CTTGCGGATTATTGAAATGATGAGATTTTCTTATTCGTCGGTTTAAACACTTTTTAGCATTTGATCTGGAGTTGAACCTAAACCAGGATCACGGAAACGTCAAACATATGACGTCAACAGATAAGTTTGAACATGCGGTACAATACTTGAAAGTTTTCTGGGGAAAACAACCTGTTCAAAGCGTGATAACCGTTCTTTTTTTTTAAACCGCTTTGATGCAGCAATTTCGTGCTTGTTGCTACATCGGTATACGAATGCATGCGATGCAAGATATCCTCATGTTACATTTCACGTGCATGTTCTAGATTATAGCCTACATTTTCTATCGATTCATTTCGGTAATAAAACACGGTGATTCGGCAGTTCTAGAAAATCCGCAGCGTATTCGACGTTTTTATTGGGGATGTCACGCGGAAATCATTTGCAATGATGCAGCACTGATTTCAGGATTTTTCCCAATTCGTGCTTTATTTTCATCATGCAAAACCGTGCACAGTACCGAGTACCGACAAAGTAAACTCATATTTACAACGACAAAAATCATGATCAGTAACACTCCATTAAAAGACGCGGAAATTACTGTGGAAAGTGGGGGCATAGACATTCATGATGAGTTGTAATGTGACAAGTTTTGCATTTTGCTGCCTTGTGCGATATTATGAAATTCTTGTTTTACCAATTTAATCTACCGTAACCCCTTCAAAGGGCTCGCATTAAACTGTTCATTCCGTTCGGGCTGTCGAAAAATACTGCATGCAAACGCATGGAGTCGCATGAATGAAGGTCAAATCACTGAACATTTGATTGCTGCGACTTAGGAAGGAAAATGACCCATGCTCGTGATTATACGCTGAACGCGTGATGCAAGGCGCCAATAAAATTGACGAACTGATTGTCCGCGGCTTCTGTTGCGTGCAATTGTGTTAGCTAAAATCCAGAGCCAATTCCAACCCCAGATTCAATGCAAAAAGAAATAAAGTTTTCGATTTCCAAGGACTTAACTGCTCGCGGAAAACAAATGTTTATCCGATTTCAGACGCGCGCGCAAACAAAGGAATCGTGATTCAACCTGTCGCACCACAACGCGGCTTGCAATCAAACGTGAGCAGTTGATCACCGATCAGGTGAAAAAGAACCCAGATTATCGACGCTTTGTTTAACCCTGACTTTGATCAACGAGGGTATGTCCAGAAAAAAGTATAATCGGAAAATAATGTGGCAGCAAGAGTCATCGACAAAGCTTTTCGTAATCCTCATTCAAGTTCTACATACATTTTATGTGGGACGGAAATCCATGAAGGAAAAAGCAGCGTAAACACTTTCACGTTTTCGACATTGCTCAAAGAAGAACATACAGGCCAATTAAAAAAGCATTCACTGGTTTTTTTTTTTTAACCGGAGCACAACTTTTCCAGGGTTCCGGAGATTTTCACGTGAGTAAAAGCTCATCTTGTTTAACAAAATTCAAAAGCATATGCCCTGTATTCTCAGTGGAACAAATATTTTCCCCAAAACATTGTGCGCAGGTCTTGTATTTTAATTAATGAATTCCCAGAAAAAAAATATTGAACTTGAATCCCTAAAAAATTGATTGTAAATCAGACCAGAGGAAGTGCTTAGATTATCGTTAAAAAGATTGTTTGATAATGAGCGGAAGATAAAAACACAATGTTATACGGTAATTGTCTCTCAGAGCTTCTTTCCGGCTTATGTATACTCTAATGAAAACTGCTTGACATAGAAAATTTGTCAAAACTTTATTTATTTGATCCTGTGTAGTTGAAGTTACTACGTTTGAATCAGCAAAAGTAGTTAATTTGTTTGCTTATCTTTAGGATTGCGTCTTGCATCAAATTTTGAAAATAAAAATCAACGTGCAAGTTTTCTTGCGGCTTTAAATAAATTGCTTCAATATTTTGCTGTTTTCACACCCCTTTCAGAATTCCCCAAAATTTCTTACAAACTTCAAGCTGGGGATGAGTGACAAAGATTGTGGTGGCTGCAGGATACAGCTTCTGTTTCTACAACAATTTCTGCACGAGTTAATTTGCTGATTCATCAGCCTGAGGCTTATGTATAAAAACCAGAAGAAAACGAAAATCGTTTTTGAATTTTCTCCATTCAGAAAAAAAAAAGAAACTGGAGCAGAAAAAATTATGCAACCTGTTCACAGGAATGTATTTCTCTCTCACTCTAAGAAAATATTTGTTTCTTTAGGCTGGGTAATAGACTTTCAGTGCTCCAGACTTTCAATGGAAGATCGGGGAAACAAACCTGGCTTGAGCAAGCATGGCTGCTCTCCATGCCTGATCAGCAGAAATCCCTGGAGCCAATTGTTCGTCGTATCGCATCGGCAAACTTGCAGCAGCTGTCGCGAGCATCGCGAAAATTGCTACTTGAGCCACGCGAAACATGATCCTCAGCAATTGGCGCTCATTTCTCATGCAAAAACCATCATTGGTCCTGCACGAAATTTGTGTCGAACGAACTATTCCACTAACACAGCACCTTGGATTAAAAAAAAAATCACTGAATAGCCAGATACCTGAACTTGAATTTTATTTCGCGCAATCGGAAGCTGAACACTCGGGTCCGTGTTTGAGCAGGATTTCACACTGGCGACCATGAGATAAATCCGGGAAATGAGTCCTTGCATCATTCCGAGAGCTCAACTTTTGTCAAACCGAAAAATTTAGATAATTTGGTGGGTACTCTTATGGCGCCTTTAGTGGCTAAATGTGACATGATTATCATGGTCACCCATATCATCATTTCTGGTCTATATACTCTATACATACTATGAAAGCAGGTCAATCTCTGGCATGTATAGAAACCACAAAATTGACAGAATGATGTCTATGATGATCTGTCCTTGCACAAATAATTTGTGTTTATCCAGCTAAAGCTGTGATTCACAATATATACTAAGATGAGCACAAGGCACACTCATCACGGAACACCAGATACAACATTTAAAAACAGGGATTAATTTAAAATACAAGATAGTATTAAGATTCTCAAGATGCTATATGCATGGATTCATAGCGGGAGATGCGATTGGCACAAGATTCAAGAACCATGGTTCCAAAAATATTGACAAGGACTTATATCGCCAAGAAGCAGGATATAAACACAATTTACTGCCGAGCACAAATGCTTCGGAAATCAAATACAGTAGATCTAAAGGAGGGATTTTAAAATTTTTTGGCTCTTGATGGTGTTCACAGTCCACCATATTGGTGCATTTAGTGTCATCTAACATCTTTCCAGTCGGCATGACAGGTGCGGTGCATTTACTGGCTGCACGGTCGTGTTATAGGTACCTGAATACTGAAACTTCAATCTGAAATCAGACGGAGTCATTCCCAAAAATTTTGGGCTTAACTTGCAGGGCTCAAGTTTTTTTTCTATGAACTATTACCTCAATCGCAGTTCTTTATTCTTATGAAAAAGCACACAAAACCATTGCTTTTGTGTCATAGACTATTCCGCGTACAGCCTGGCAAGTGCCTTGGTACTTTCAAGTACATGCTGTATAAACAAGCTAACAGTTGATGAATCATGAACTACGGGGATCTGGTCTAGGGATTTCTTTTGCAGTAAAAAAAAGGTTGGGGATCACTGATCGGTATAGGGTTAGATTTGAGGATATTCAACTAAAATGGAACTGCTTGTGGTGGCAAATTATTCACTGACTGCGCATGACCCAACACGATGCTCACTGTTCTCAAGTTTATCAGCTAATACGGGGATCTCATGAAAATTCTATTCCTGCGTAAGGCAATAAATCCTATCAATGACATGACGTCAGGAGATTTCCTGCCGTTATCAGCGCACTGACAAGTCGCAACTGCGGCGGACTGCGCTAGGGCGACTTTCTGTGCCAGCACAAAATTTTGCAATCAAATTGCCCATTTTGCTCCCCTCTCGACAATAGCTCATTTTCCCTCTTCCCATCGACCTTCACCCACATCCTGTGTCGCCTAGTACGAATCCGTGACAAAAAAAGACCGACCTTCGACTCTCTGAAACAACGATACCCCTTAGCTAGGCACCACAGTGGTGCGCGAAGGTAGGCTACTTTCGTTATACATGTAAAATGTGTCATAACGCGATTGCTAGCAATCTGGGCCTCGTCGATTTTTCGGCATCTAAATCGTGACTGAGAGCTTATCAAATAATTTTAGCTGGGAGTTCATTATTTATCTGAAAACATTCTGGATGGTGAGCGTCGTAGTTTTCACATAATTTTAAAAGTGCATATCTGTTCCCTTGCAAGTTATTGTGCAGCGTTGAAAAACTGCATTGAAGTCTTTTGTGAAACTTCAATCAGACAAGCCTATAAAATCTACCTCGGTTACTTTTAATGCATTACTTGTCAAACTACAGTACGACTACTTCACTACAGTACTTGCTTTCGAAGGCAAATGAATTGTATATCCACGCAACAGACCTTCCGAAACCTTTGGTAAAGAATATTTTGCTCGACAGGCAAATTACTGCTCCTCTTCGAGCCCCTATTTTCCAGTTATGCGTTTTGTTTTTCCTATGGCCAAGCTGATATTAACTTCAGAGGATTATGATATTCCGTGGAACTTTTGATGGATGCCGGGCGGCGAAAAGCGTGTCCGAACCTTTTTTAGGGCACCGCTTTTACTTTATTAGAAGTAACGGGCAGCGTCATTAGTTTTAGTCTCGTCGCGGGTCTGCACCCACCACTCAGCGCACCGCCCATGCTCCCCACGGGCAGTTGACCTGCTGAAATCCCGCAATTTTTCCCTCAGTCTGACATAAAAAAAAAAAATCAACTTGGCATTGTGTCTGGTGAAATCAGAGTCCAACTGTCGGGAACATTTGTTGATTATCTGAACCCAACGTATCATCCCATTCATAATATACTTGAAATTTCTGGGATGCCAAGCACAGTTGAAGGAAACATCCCTGCTGGGGAACCTCTATCATCTTGGCTAATGACCAGCTTTTGCCTCGGGGAAAGAGGTTAATTAAAATATCAACATATGATTCTGCAAAAACGTGACGGGATTTTCAAAAATCATCTGTGACTCTGGGATAATATTAATTTTCTTGGATTCCAACAGCTTTCAATAAAATATTTGTATACAGTTACTGGAACTGAAAAGATGTCTTTTGGTCCATAATCTGGAGCTCAGTTATTTGAACTCATTGTGAGGGCTTAAAATATATGTGGCAAACACATTATTATCCAGGAAGTTTTCAAAAGACTGTATTGCACTGTTTTGAAATAGCGTGTGTTCACAATTTTGTATTTTTGCACGCATCTGCCATTAAAAGTAATACCATATAAAAATATATCACGGAGAAACACGGATACAGGAAAGTATCCTGAGTTTATGAAGCGAATGAGCGTATCTATGTAGGGATGATTTTCTTTTTTCTTGCAATTTATGCTGGAGAACGAACTTTTGCATTTTGGATAACTTTCTTGATTTCGGATAATAAAAATGTCAAATAATCCCTGGGAATTTTTGCAGTGGCGGTCCATGGAATGCTTTCAACTGTTTGACAGATTTTGTTGAAAATTATTCAACTGAATGATGAAATGCAGAAATGAATGTGATTTACAGCTGCACGTTAATTATTCTCCACAGTAGTTCACTTGGGGTTTTATGACAATTTTAAATCCATATTCATATTTTCAATGTTCGTTATTACTGAGGAGTTCAAATTTACTGCATCGAAAGTGCAGATTCAATAACCAGAAACGAAGAAGGAATGAAGGATCTCCTTGAAAGCAAAAATGACTCTCCCCATTGATGACGAGCAGAATGAACGCAATGCAATGAATATGAAGAAATACTTTTTTGATTTATTGATTCTGCAACCGGTGACGATCTTAGATAAAACGACAGTTGTTCCTTGCTCACAACTTCGGAGCCTCTCTAAAGTTTCGACTATGTCATTAGAAAATTAAGAATCAAAACCGCGTGCGTTAAAGATTACGAGTGCGATGTGGTTCAAGCACTGACTAGTTTTTACTCAGCATTGGAACGCAAACGTTACATTGATCGCCATGTAGAAGATTCATGCGTGACATGCTTTTTCTGACTTTCTAAATACAGTACTACAAGCTTTATGCTGTTGTACGAGGATTAAAAATTAACCCCAGTGTTAAATGTGATCTTTGACGCTTATCAAAAATAATCATTTTAATTCAGGTTGTTATCCGAAGCAGGGGCCGCTATCCAAAGAAGAAGAAAGTGGTATTCGAATGAGCTCATTGTGCGAAACATCAAATTTTCGCAGGATTTGTCATCAATATACCATCGTGTTGCTTGGCCTGCAGATGAATTGTCACGCTTATAACAACTAAATTATCTGACAATGAGCCGAAGTATTCAATTTATAATTTCTTAGTCGCATAGATTGAGTAGAACTCTGGTTTTCAGACTTATTTCATTAGTCTTGCCTTCCATCAATGACGAATCATCCAAAGAACCAAAACAGCCTATACTAGCTCTGGTTTCAAGCTTGAACGCAACGAAACAGATGTTGAGTATCTGAGTAAAAAGAGTGATTAGGTGAGGTGCTAAACTACCTTAGAGCCATTAACTTATAATAGGTATCCGGAACATAAAATAAGCAATCGTATTTTTGAAAATACTGAGATATCCAGGAGAGGTGCCTGAACATCCTGAGTCTATTGCGCGGAAAATGTGTTATTTGAGGCGTCCATTATCCGAGGTTGACCCGAATACCTTTCTCAGGCGCATTGTGATCAGATCTCTAAAAATGCTTGCGAGTTGCGTAACACATTTTCACTATGGAAGCAGACAGAAATGTTTTATTGTAGTGCGAGGTACCACTGCACAAGGTCTGAACTTAACTTCCCATGGGATGCCAAACGGGTCCTGAGGTACAGTACTACTGAGACCCCTCAAAGGCGCACACTCTATTAACGTTCCTTCGTGACACTTATAGGCACACAGTCAGGCTGGGAGTCGTCGAGACGTTTCGGACGACAGGGGTCCTTTCATCGAAAGGAGCTGTGTCCCGGGCACAGCGTGTCACGGCCCTGCATTGACGGGTCCGCACCGGAAACAATCGGGACGCGTGGCGGACAGGGCGATCGGGAATCGCGGGGACGATTAACGCTGCCGCTGAAGAGAACCCACACGTGGGCCCTTCGAATGGGGCGGGGGAGGGGAGGTGGAAGCATAAGAACCGGAAATCGTCGGGATTTCAATTGCCGACGCGGAATACCTGCCGTGCATTACGCAATTGAATGAATGAGACATTACCGGCTGGCGGCGTCGGCACAATGACCGAACGATCACGGGTGCCGGGGATGAACTTCCCAGCAGTCCACGTTTCCCTGCGCTAAAACCCTGGTCCTGTCAGCCCGACAGACGTGTGTCTGTAGTATGAATGTACTGTACTGAACATACGTACGTACGTGTATGCATGTAGTCCCAGAGCTTCCGTATGGTACCCGCATCAGCTCCCCCCGTACCCAAACTTCCACGTTCCGCCTCGAATGCGTTTCGCCGAAT